TCCCTTGCACAGCACTCCCTTACCCCAAGCTCCCTTCTGCATTCATCATCTATCCCAGACTCTTTGGGAGGGTGCAACCCTTGACAACTTACCAAAGTGTTAGGAGTGCCCCCCACCCCCACCCCCAGCACAAATTGTTGCCCACCTCTGATGTAGAGCAATCTGACCCTTAGCTCCATTATGGGAGGCTTTGTTTGCTCAAACTGAACCCTTTCCTCTTCCTCACCAGGGAGAAAGGACTCTGTATAGTCCCTATATCTCCACCATACTTTCCCTCGCTAACCCCTCTCGCTCCTTTGTTGTGTTCCTGTTCACTTGGTGGTAATGAGTAAAGAACTTCTTTGAATTACACTGCAATCTATAAAACATTCCACATATGCGCAAAACCAGTAGTGGTTGTTAGAGGAAGTACAAGCTACATCTGCACTCATTTGCTGTCTGAATAGACACACACTTGCTGGCTTTAGTGTAGCTAGCTTAGTGAAAAACAAAACAGCAAAGACAATGTGGGCTTCAATATATGCTATTGATATGAATACATGCCCACAGGGTCCAGGCTGGCTTTCACAGACTGCACAGGTTATGCTGCCACCTTTTGGTGGCTAATTTTAGCAATATAGCTAGATCAGAGCTAGCATGGGTAGATCTGTCCTGAGCTGCCCTTTACACTTTTGACTACAGTGTAAGTCTAGGCACATCTATTTCTTTGCCCTCCAGTATCCTTCACTCCAAACTTATTTTGTCAATGTGTTAGTCACCTTGCCTCATTTTACTAGATCAGGTCTAGGAGAATGTGTTTTAAAGTTTAGTTTTCCCTAATCAAGTAGCCCGTAACCTTAAAAGTCTCCAGCAATAGCATGGAAATTAATGGGTAACTTTTCAAAACCACTAACCTATGGGCAGGAAGTAGTTTAGACAGGTAATAGCAATTACGCATAGCACGGAAGGCCTAGTATGGGTAAGATATAAATTCACCAGCAGAGAAGAGCAGGTTCAGTGGTAAGTGAGGCATCCTTCCCAGTTGGGCGGGTAGTACTGTGGTTTCAGTGGTAAGTGAGGGCTGAGGCATCCTTCCCAGTTGGGCGGGTAGTACTGTGGCCATAGCTCTTCTCTACCAATAGCAAGTAGCAAGACAGCAAGGAGTGGAGGTCATAGCCTAACTGAATACAAGTTTGAAGGTCACTGAAGTTGAAGGTGACCTTAGCAGTATTGTTTTCCATCACAGGAGGACAGAGAACTCAATAACAAGGGATGAAGAAAGCAGCAAGAATGTGAGACCCACTCCTGCTAATGGAATGGTGCCCACAGTTGCAAAAGCAAAAATTGCAGATACTTCTTGAAAGACACATACATGGTCTTCCATTCCCACTGCTCTAACTATCAGTACTTCAGCCAGCCACAGGAAGAGCTCCAAGAACAACTTCAGACCCAGACCACATCAAAGAATCTTTTACCAGCGGCAGGAGCCACAAAAATGCATTAGAAAGGAAACAGGCAGAAAAAGTTGAAAAAAAGCAATATTGTTACTTAGCAGAACTGCAGCTACATGAGGTGACTTGGCAGATAGGAGTGCAGGATTTATCCCCCACAAAGCTGAACCAGAAAGAAGCTCAGTATCCTTGCTCAACACTATACCCACTGGCAAGTGTTTCTTTGAATGGGGCCTGCAGATGGTAATAGCAACAGCACATTTTAATCTTAAAGCCAGATTTAGTGGCTTAAAGCCAAAACGTTTTATCCATTGCCATGTCCTTTCCCTTATTTTGAGCAGATAGTGTAGTAAGCAGACAGTATGAGGTCTTAAAAGCTGCTAATGGTAGAGACAAATGTATTCAAGAGCTCCATTATAAGGCATTTTAGAGGAAGGATGAAATTAATGCATAAAAGAGACTAAGGATATTTTGCAATCAATGTGATTTTTATTTTTTGCATTGGATACACAGAGATGCAGTGAAATTGCTCTTTCCCAGAAAAGCACAATTGAGAATCTTTGAATACTGGCTGGTTGGAAATGAGAATTGTTTGACAGAACTTGAGAAATGGTAACGGATAGTTACAAGGAATACACTACCTGTTCAGTGAACTATGCAACGGATTAAAATTGTCTACTTGCACATCATACAGTCCCACTAAAATCAATACAATCACGTGAAGTGTAAATCATACAGCCTGGGTGAGCTTCTGTATGGCTGTGTCTAGACTGGCAAGTTTTTCCGCAAAATCATCTGCTTTTGCGGAAAAACTTGCTAGCTGTTTACACTGGCCGCTTGAATTTCCGCAAAAGCGCTGACGATCTCATGTAAGATTGTCAGTGCTTTTACGGAAATACTATGCTGCTCCCATTTGGGCAAGAGTCTTTTTCCGAAAAACTTTTGCGCAAAAGGGCCAGTGTAGACAGCAGAGATTTGTTTTCCGCAAAAAAGCCCCAATCGCGAAAATGGCGATCGGGGCTTTTTTGCGGAAAAGCATCCTGCCAATCTAGACGCGTTTTCCAAAAATGCTTTTAACGGAAAACTTTTCCGTTAAAAGCATTTCCGGAAAATCATGCCAGTGTAGACGTAGCCCTCGAGTTCAGATGTGATTAAATGTTAGTTAGAAAAATTAGGGTGGAGAAATATAGGAATTCGAGTTGGGACACAAGAAAAACTAAAGGAAATTCAGATGGAGAGTACAGCTCCTGCTTAACATAGTGCCTTTAGGGAGAACAGCAGATTTTTAGAGTCACTTATTACAGGACAGAAATGCTCTAAGAACACTTGATGTAGGCTAACTGCAGCTTGGGCTGCAGGTCTGTAAGATTGCCCTCTAAAGGTATGTCTGCACTTCATTCCTCTTTTAAGAGAGGAATGCAAATGCAGCTGAGCGAAGTTGCAAATGAAGCACAGATTTGAATTTCTGGTGCTTCATTTGCATAATCGTGTCTGGGCGCTATTTTGAAATAGCATTTCTTTTTTCAAAATAGTGTGTCTAGATGTGGTTATTTCAAAAGAAAACCCTTCTTTTGAAATTACCCTTACTCCTTATAAAATGATTTTGAAAGAAGGGTTTTTTCCTCAAAATAACGTCTAGACAGCATTTCTTTTTTTGAAATAGGGTATTTTGAAATAGTGCTCAATGCAATTATGAAAATGAAGCGCGGGAAATTCAAATCTGCGCTTCACTTGCAATTTTGCTCAGCTGAATTTGCATTCCTCTCTGAAAGAGGAATGCAGTGGAGACATACCCTTAGTGTCTGAGCTAGGGCTGAAGCCCAGGCTATGGGGCCTTGGGAAGGGAAAGGTTTCAACACCTAGGCTCCAGCCCAAGCCCAAACACTTAGGCTACAATGTAGCCGTACTTCCAGAAAAGCTTATGCAAATGAAGCACAGCATGGAATACTGCCGTGCTTCATTTGCATAATTAGCAGCCACTTTTGCTCAAAAAAAGGAGGTGTGTAGACTGTTCCTTTTTGCACAAAACCCCTTCTGCTCAAGAGCCATTCTTCCTGAAAAATAAGCAAGAACAGCTCTTGTGCAAAAGCAGTTAATTAATTATGAAAGTGAAGCACAGTGATATTCCATACCATTCTTCATTTGCATAAGCTTTTCTGGAAGGCTAGTGTAGCCGTAGCCTTACACAGCAGACCCATAGCCCCGTAACACAAGCCCTGCACGCCAGAGTCAGCTTCCATAGGTGTTCTACTGCAGTACAGAGGTACCTTTGAGGACTTCATTTAAGCAGCTGTGATGCAGGGGATAGGAAACTGGCCAGGGATTTGAGAGGTCTAGGTTCCATTTCTGGCTCTCCACTTAAACAACGGTTCAATATACAGCATCATGAAGACGACAAAAGGGCTCCAGTTGGAGGTTATAGTCTCTAATCTAGAACACTTCAGAGGGACAAGGAAAAGTGGGTTGTTTAATCTCTTAGCTACCAGGAACTAGGATCCTGATCTAGAGATGCACTGGGAAAAACACAAAGCAGATACTCAAAACATACAATACAGGATGTTTCATTAAAAATAAGCATCAACTTATTGTTCAATATTCTCAGTAAAATAAAAGATTTGGGGCCAGATTGTCAGTGGCTTCAACTCCACCTCCTTTTTTGGAATTTAGAGTAGATAACCTGTTTGCACACTTTTCAAGGTCCTTTGTAAATGATTAAACATGAGTTTGCACACAGGCGCTGGTAGGGATCCGCTCATGCCACACCATTTGTGGGCTTCCCCCTGCCAGTCAGCTGAACTGCTAGTATGCGAGCAGTTATGAAGCCACCTCCAGTACAGGTCCTATGAAGGTCTCCCTGAGTTGCATAATTTCAGCACTGTTTTCAGGGCTGCACTACTAGAGTTATTTAACTGGCAGGGATTTGCTGTTTTCTGGAGAGTTCAGAGATATGAAAGTTACTTCTCATGATTATTTAAGCCAGCCTGAATCTAGGATTAAGCCCACTTGTAAAAATAAAATTCAAAGAAGTTGGCTGGTAGTTGATAGGAGAGAACATAACCCACATAGCACACAAAAGGAAAATTATTGAAATTTAGAATCCTGTTTGAGGTGAACATTGGTATTCCAAATCTATACATTTGAAAGCTATATGTGAAATAGCCCATCAAGCAAAGTACTCAATATGTTCTGCAACAATATATGCAAAGTGTGGAACCTAAAAGCCTAGTACTGAAATGCCAGATAAAGGTATTATAAGGAAAACAAACTTAACTTACAGCATGCACCGCTTACTGCAGATCTCATTAAGTAATATCACATTAGCTTAAACTTAATTGTATAGCAAGCCTGAGGTGGGAACTGACTTTTTGCCCTCCACTGAACTGAAAAAGAGCAAAGACTTTACATACAGCCCACAGCTGCTACAGTACCTATCAATGTTGTTCTCAGAGGGGGTGGACAGATAGCAACAGAAATCACAAGTTAAACTGGTCATTTTATTGACTAGTCTTGTTAATGAAACGGAGGTACTATATTGCATGGTTAACAAGACTTCTCAGAGCCAGCAGGAAGAACAATACAGTATGTTTTTATTTAAGAGTCCTCAGGCTTAGTCCAACTACATCTGGTGCACAATTCAGTTTACATTTCATATTGAAAACCCTCTCAAACTTTAACACTACCCATTCTGTCAAGTGCTTCAGCACATGAAGCTTCCAAGAGAAAACTCTCAATTGGGGGGAGGGGTCATGATTACCTGTATCCCTAAATAAGGGGGCACTGCTATGGAAAATACTGCTGTTCCATGCATTTCAAATCAAGGGAGTTAAATATCTGAGTTTTGCCACCACTTACAAATAGTTTTCCAATTATTTTACAGGAGAAGTGCAGTGCTTTCTTCTACCCAAGGTAGAAGGGGGGGAGGGGGGGGAGAAGAGGAGAAGGGCCAGCTCCCCAGTGGGACATCCATGGACAGGGGCTGCTGCTGGAGCAGCCTCTGCCCAGAGTGAACCTCAGCCCACCGAAGGCAGAGGCAGCAAGGGGAAGCAGGCAGCACCACGGAGACAGTGCTGGGGAGAGGGGGGAGAATTGGCTTTTAAGCTGGCTCCCCCAGCACTGGCTTCTGTTCCCCACCCCCCATTGCTGCCTCTCAGAGGCGATGGGAGTGCGGGGGGAGTGCGCGAGTAGTCAATATTCCAATTGACTAAGCAATAAGCTTATCAGGTAGTTGACTACTCACTATCATCCCTACTACATTCTCCTCAAAACACTCCCTTCTGTAGCACAGTTGCTTCTGCCTAGCAAAGCTACAGCTAATCAGCAGCTGCTATGTGGTACTACAGGCTCCCTCCTGTCAAATGTGTGCTTGTCTTTGGCTAGGAGGCTTCTTTACAAATTCAACTGTAGGTCTACAGGACATTAGCCAGTCACCAGCCTGGATCCTGCTTTCATTCACCCCTGTTCACAAGCACCATGTGTAATTTCTTTGCCAGTATTTCCTGCAACAATGAACAATTGAAGATGGGTCATTAGAATAAACTGAGTGACTATCAATACATTTTATTATGCATGTGTTCAAAGTTAAATATCAGAGGATGGAGCAAGACTTATCTTGCATCTCTAAATACGTGGTGTACAGTATTTTGCAGAAACACAGCTAGCAAAAGACTTAAATACATTTGTTCCACCAATGAAAGAAGGCCATACAAAATAAATTGGTAATGCTTCAAAATAATTGCACATTTGAATTCACTGGGTTAGTTATTGTATTTGAAATTGCACAATAGTATGTTTCTTCAAAAATATGTTTGGTTTTTAAGCAAGTGTATCATTTTTCAGAGTATTACTGGTTTGTTAAACTAAGTTTTAATTTTTATGACCAACTGGTGTTTTGCCAGCCATCATCCTGTTAAATCTAAGTGATGCTACAATTATAGAAAACATTTAACATATGTATTAAATTTAAAAGCCATGCAGCAGATTATTAGGTTATCTAATGGTAAAATCTGTTATTGCCAAGGATGGGGTAATTCACAGGAAAGGGGGGAAATGTTAAAATGGTAAGTATCGGAGATGCACTGGATGCAAAAAACAAAAATTGGCAATTTTTTTTTTTGCAAGAGAACATCCAACTGACCTGGTGCTAGTGCTGTCTGCTGGAAAGATTATTCCAGTAGTATTGACTGACATGAATGTGAACTAGCATTTAATTGTACAATTCATCATCAAAACTACATAGAATCATCTCCCAAAGCAGGTACATAGCTCCTGTTCACGTTAGTAGAAGGTGCCCACCCCTAAAAAAAGTCTGATACACAATTTATCATGTGGCTCCAAACTTCCAAGTTTTACTTTTGTTGCAATGTCATTTATATAAGGTTCATCTTAACTATTAAGTCAGGTGATTGGAACAAAAAAGTTGGATTTGACATGTGAGAAAAAGCTTTAGATGTTTTCTTCCATTGTTTTAATTCTCTCTCCTAATGTCAGTTTCCTCCCTGATTTACGTTAGCTCACGATCTAACTTCTGGTCCTTTCTTGCACAAATGGTATTTCACCTGATAATGTGAAAACAGAAGTTTTCAAAATTAACCCATGTAACTTCAAATATAAAATATTGGACATATTCCTTTCAATACAGTTTGAAATAATTTGATCAGGCTCCGAAATATGTTTGTCTTTGCAATACAGACTTGCCTAAAGTGCTAAATTAGCATTTACTCATTCAGATTTCAAATTTGAGATAATACAAATATACATGCTAGCTTCCCATAGAAACTGCCATCAGAAGTGTGAAGAATTAGGAAGTATGAGGTTAAAAAAATATCCTTTAGCAAAATATTTGTGGAGTGAAGTAGTTAGCTATAAAGCCGGTTTCAAAATGTGAATCAAGAATATACTGGAGAAGGTATTTAGTGTCATGGAGTCCAACACCTTATTACAAAACTGAGCAAGATCAGGACTAATTCCTAGCCCATGACATTAGAATACACTAGCTATAGCAAGCTATAAAATGTTAGTATCAAAGTATGACACTGATTCAGCAGTGCCGCCACCACATAGCTGTTGCTGCAAGTTAACAATTCTTTCCAGTAGCTCATCTCTATTTTCTGCAAGAAAAATCATGTCCCCTCCAATGGCAGCAGAAAGCTGATCTGTACATTCTTCCATCATAATACACACCACCAGTTTATGAAAATCCAATGAGCTCCCATCTCCTTTGCAACTCCATAGTACATGGAATTACATTAAATTTCATTTGAAAATGAAATTTTCATATACTCTTGTAAGACAACCGTATGGCATTACGTAGATCCTAACGTTTATGGAATGTAAGTAATTCATGTACTGACAGACCAGCATACATGGCAATGTCTCTCATGATACCTGTAAGTGCTAGCTGCAATTATGCAATCCACAAAAACTTCATAGCTCCTTACTCTGTTTATAAGCAGCAAGAGCCACCACTGCACACACCGTTTAAGATTAACACTCTTCATCTGCACTCAGAACTATCCAAGAAATTCTACATCTCTGTAGTTATTGCTTTAGAAAAAAAAATATGTTTAACATTAATTGCCATCTTTGTGTTCATTTTGAAAGGAATGAATGCTATCGCTATATATAATTTCTTCATGGTAAATGAGGAACTAAGCTTTTCCACATAAAAAATTAGTTCATATGTAGGAGGAATTTATTTTAGAAGTTACGGCTAATAGGTTTGTATATCTCCCCATTTTAACAGCATTGTAAACATAGCATATGTGATTTGTGACATGTCGTGGGCTGCCTTTACTATTGAGATTGGACAGATAATGTACTCAACAGCAGCTACAAAAGTTTCATTATGTTAGCCAAGAAGAGGGAATAAATATAGCTTCAGCATTTTTAAGAGCCTAGGAATATTTACACACACTTGCAAGCTATTGGAACAAAGTGTTTTTTAAAAAGTAGTTTTACCAATAACTGAACTTGCAGACAACACTCCAAGAAAGCCAGCAGCTCAGGATCTCTTATGTCAAGGACATACTTACTGCCACTCCAGAGAAGAAACACCTACCCCTTTATTCAAACATTTTTTTTTTTTTTTTTTTTTTTAAAGCAAACAACCACCTATTTCCTTCAAAGTTATATCCAATACTTCATTTGGAGGCAGCCTTAAACGGTACATCAGAAAAAGTTCAGTTGGGGACGGCTTACTGGAAGGGACAGTTAAGTTATTTACTGTTTGCAAAAATCAGAACAACTTGTTTTACTCTGATAATTCTTTAGCTACTTTACAAGATATTTCAGCAGAGAAAGCACATTGTTAACACCACATGTAAACCAAGTTATGACCAATCCTTTTCTCGCAGTCATGTTGCAGGTAAGCCATTTTACTTCACATCAACCAGCTGGGAAATTGCATTTCTACATCAAGGTTATTCCCACTGAACCCCATAGAAGAGCGTTTCTCTACAAAGATAACTGTCCATGCTGCAAGAGCAGGAGAAAGGATCCAGCAACCAGTGCTTTTGTGACAATATTTCTAGTAGGGTTTTCATTCATTCGGTGTGTGTTGCTGTACATAAGGTGCATGAACCTGTCAGGTCCTAGGTCAACGTGAGAAGCCAGTCGCAAGGCTGCAACCAACTACTGGTGTCATGTCCCATATCTGTAAGAAAAACAAGATAGAGAACTACTCAGCACATCATACAATATTAAAATCAAGAGTATAAGACCTATACCTGTAGCAAAAGTAACAATATATCTTAAACAATACACCTTAAAAGATGAGCAATAATCATTGATGGGGAGTGGGCACTAAGAATTTGAAAAGTGGTCATGGACAGCACTGTTCCATATTGATGGAGGAGGTGCAGGGTCTGGAATGGAGGCTGGTGCAGATGGGAGCTTGGCTATGGGATTGGAGTACAGCAGGGGGTATGATTGCAGGAGGATTCTGTCCAAGAGGAGGGATGCAGGAGAGGAGGCAGGGGGTTGCGTAGTGACTAGGGGCAGGAAGTTGGGAGAGGGTATGGGGCAGGAGAGTATTCTGACCTGGGACAGGAGTGCAGAAGGGGCATGTGCAGACATAAGGGGGGGGAGAGGAGGAGGGACACGCAGAAGGTGGGGTGCCAAAAAGGCAGGCTCTGGCTAGGAGGTGGCTCCCAGCTAGCAGATTTCTCAGCCATGCTCTCTGCTTTCCATGCAGCTGCATACTGCTCAGAGCATTCAACAGGACACAAACAGTGCTGCTTATTTTATAACTTTTAAAGTTATACTGGCTATGCTGCTGTTTCACAAAGCTAAAACTACATTTGAAGCAAGGACTCTAGCTTGCACGGAACCTTGTTTTATAAGTCTGTGTATGGAACACACACTTTTGGCTTTGGAAACCCTCTTCATTAAAAAATGCAGAGCTACAGAACATTAAAGAATATAAAAGTTACTGGGCCATTTCATTACTCATATCCGCAGGCAACATAAGCACAGTATAGCACATTATCAAAAGATTTTATGACTTAAGGAAATTGAATATCACTGTAGTAGAGTCAGAGATTGGATAGGAGCAGCATGCTGAATTGCTGCTTGTGACACTCCATTTGCTTTGTCTAATGCATGCTACAGGAGTGTTGCATGCTCTCCCATACACCAGGATAGACCTGCAAGCATGGACCAGACATACTGGCAACGTCAAGAGCCTTCCTCATCTGCTCTGCCAGCCACAGAAGTGATGAAAAAGCAAGGTGAGACATGGGAACAGGAGGAAATGAAGTACCAGACAGTTGGAAGCTGGGTACTGGCAGACGGAATACCAAGCTGACAACACTAATATAATGTTTGCATCATGGCAACTGTACCCTCAGGACCTATTGCAGAATGATCTGAAAAACTACTTGAAGAAAAGATTTGTATCTGATATGAGCCTGAAGCTGTCACTATTACACAATTAAATCCAACAGCATCCAGACATATGTCATTTCCTCTGCAGTCATTTCAAACAGTGACACAAAGGGGTATATTAAGGGAAAGCATTTTAAAAAACAAGTCCATGTGCATGTGCGGACAAACGCCCTTTGCTGAATGTACATATCAGCACACTGATAAGAGACAGCAGATATTAAGTTCCTCATTTGGAGCCCTCAGACTCTAAATGACGATTTCTTTAGTGTCTGAATCAGGTTAGTATGTACGAGACTAGAGTGCAATTAAAGGGAAAAAAATCACTGATTATGGAGAACTCTGAATAAAGCACATCCATCCCTTTTGAGGTCTGTTAAGAGCCATTACCTGAAACTTCATTTTACTACTTTGACCATGCGCAAAACAAAAACTATCATAGTTCAGAGAAAGTCCTTCAAATCTCCATGACATTAGTTAGGCTTCAATGGGATTACTCACATTAGGATTGTCTGGCATCACTGACCCTTTCTATTTCAAACTCCTTGGGAGCAGGGACCATATCTTCTTACTGTATGGTGCTTTTCAGACCACACCAGAACTATACAGGTAGTCCTTTTAATTCATTGGGATTGCCTGCATATTCACTATATAGGCAGAATGAAGGTAGTAATGGGATTTCTTATTAGAAAGCCTTTGATCTTAACTACAACAACTACATTTTTGATTCATGATTAACTCTTGCTGTCTACAAAACATGAAGCTGCCAGCTTGATTTTTTTGTGCTTTTGCAACCACTAGAAAAAGGCAAAAGAAACTGGACTGCATACACTAAGATCATAAAACTCAAAGTAAAAGAGCAATTTAAATAACCTGTGGAGAAGAATAATCCTACCTTCACAATCCGATCACTCCCACAAGTAACCATTAGTCCCCTAGAAATGTCCATAGACATGTGGGAAATGTTGTGCTTTCCTTCATGAAAAGTTGCCAGGGAAGTACGACTAGTGAAGGGAAACAGTCAAAATTAAAAAAAATCCATTAGACATCAGTTTGCCAGCAATACAAAATAAAGCATTAGAGGGACATTTCTGAAAAGCTAGTAAGTCAAACCTAACTTTGCTCACCTAAACAATGGTCAGTAAGCTCTTCCCAGCATACAATAATTATAGGAGACACACATGCTTACCTGGCCTCCCACTTGATTTGTAGAAGTTCATCAACACAGCACAATGGAGAACAGGTAGAGGAGAATGCAGTTCTTTACTTTTAAGATTCAACAGCTATAAAGTCTATTTTCCAATACGTTTCTCAACTTTTCATGCAGCTGTCTTGGTTAGTGACGAAGCAAGTGCCAGCCCCCTTCAAAAATGTGTGCAAAGCAGCCCCAAAAGAATTGTTTGTATCACACTAATAGGTTAACCTGACTGGGAGGCATCCACATTCTTCACTGCCTTTAGAAGTATTTTCCCATGCTAGTAAAATATGGATAAGCTTTCCTGTGAGAAGGCTGCACATTATAACTTACAGTTATCTGCTATGTACATCTCACTTAAGCAATTATGAACATGGTATGTAGTTCCTGGCATTTAATAAAACATGGATTATAAACGGATGAGCCACAGTTGCCAGAGTTGTAACCAATCATACAGAGATCTTAAAGCTACCAGCTAGGCTCCTCCAGAAGTTTCAGCCCTTGTATACCAAATCAGTAAAGGAACGTCAGACCTTTAAGCATACTCACTCTTCATCTTTGATGGACTCAAAGCAAGAGTCACAGACACGGACTTGGAACTCAAAGCCCATGATTGGGTAGCTGGACCGCTTAGTGCTGCACTTGCCACACACTGCTTGACCACATTTCCTGCAGTGATGCTTCACAGGAGAATTAAAATAAGAGGGACATTTTAGGACACAAACTGTTAAACTCCCAAAAAGCAGCAAGAGGGATAACTAAAGAAATTATACAACCTCCTATGATAGTTACCCTTTAGAACCAGTTATAACCCATGGATTCTTGGTCCTTAATTACATTCCAGCCCCAGGAAATTTTGCCATTGACTGCCAAAGAGGGCCAGGATATTATCCATGGATTCTAGGTCCCTTTTCTCCAGCAGACTGAAGACTTACAAAACAAAAGCAGATCATACTTTTACCTTGACTATAGTCTTGGGGATGTGGGGGTGGCGGTATGGGGGGGGGGGGAGATTTGCTCCTGGAACATTTAAAATATTTCCAAGAGATTTATACCTCGGCATAACTGAAGGAAGACAAGGCCATTAGCGTGTCAGTGCAAGGTACTGTGCTCAAATTATGGCTAATATTTTAGTAGTAATTTGCCAGTATAAGATCTTAGGCCATGTCACGCATTCTGTGTTTACTAACTGTAGCTCTCTTACATGCACACCTGTGCTTAAACTGGTTCTCGCTCTCGAAAAATGTTTCCTGTGGGATGACAAAGTGACATCATCATGGCAGAGCCCACCGGCATTGGGGGCGGGGGGGGGATGGACAGGCAGAGCCAGGCCCGGCCCAGCATGCTGCTGCTGGGCATTCCCCAGGCACCGGGGCAGAGCTGGGCCTGGCCCCAGGCTGGCATGGCCCAGGGCAGGAGGGGGAAAAGGGCCCAGGCCGGTCCGGTCCGGTCCAGCCCAGCCTTCCCACATGGCTGGGGGAGAGCTGGGGTTGCCTACTGCCCCCTCCCATCCACCCATGTGAGGGGGGTTGGAAAGCATAGCAAGCAGGGGCACAGCCCCCTAGTTTCACTTAAGCCCATTAGTCCCACACAGGACAACCCAATATAATGGCTTTCCTTTGCTGCATTTGGTAAGTTCTCTTAGTCCGGTCCAGCCCAGCCTTCCCACATGGCTGGGGGAGAGCTGGGGTTGCCTACTGCCCCCTCCCATCCACCCATGTGAGGGGGGTTGGAAAGCATAGCAAGCAGGGGCACAGCCCCCTAGTTTCACTTAAGCCCATTAGTCCCACACAGGACAACCCAATATAATGGCTTTCCTTTGCTGCATTTGGTAAGTTCTCTTAACCAGAGATTTCCTGATTCACACCACTTTGCTGGCAATGGAGACCAGGACCTCTATTACTTTAAATTGTGGTCTTTCTACTCAGTTTTCCCCTTCAAAAACAGACTGGAGTTGAAGTTCAGCAGTTGGGTATAAATACAGAACACACACCAAATTCTCCACACAATGAAGTGCACCATAAGGGATTTAGAACCATATCCTCACCTGTCTCAACCCTAATGTCTTTGTGTCCCACATCTGCTTTATATTCCAGAAGAAAGGCTGTTCACATTTCTGACAAGAATCACTTTCTAGCCACTGAGGAGCCTAGTTGGGGAGGAAGAAATAAATAGTCTTAGCATATTCAAATCAACAAGGTAAAGAACACAAAAAAAAAAAAAAGAGCTGATACACATGCAGTGTAAATTTAAATTTAAAGAACCCCCATATCAGCTATGAAAACAACCAAGAAAATATGAATTGTTTTGCATTCAGTGCCATAGTTGACTACACTCAAAAAGCAATTTGAGAATCCAGTGCTAAGATACGTGCAGAAAGTCTCATGGTTATCTGTTACCAAGATCTTTGTGCGCCTCCTACACAGTTTTTACCCCCACAGCATTTCTTGGCTGCTGCTCTAATGAGAAAAAGTCTGGTATGATGCATCTGAATTAGAGTGCTGCAGGAGGTTGCAGACCCCTGGGTCTCACTGCCAGGATGATTCTGAAAGGCAACAAAGTAATCTGAGATACAGATGCTCTACAGAGAATCAGTTACTCCCTCAGAGGCTCTCATTCTTATCAGGTCCTTTTCCTGGGACTGCAGCATTTGAAACAATTAGAAAACTTATCAGCTGCATCCCACTTACTCCAAGTAAATATGTACCTCTGCTTCCATATCTAGAAATGATGTGCTAAGTAGCACTAACATTTACTACTGTTCTACAATGGAGTATTCAAAGCATAACTCTGAAGTTAAGACTTGAACTTTTTAGTACATTTGTAGGATGATGCATAATAGTTCTAGGAGGCATCTTGTTGTGTTGTGTAAATTTTCACATGCATCTTCCAAGGGCCATACACCCTGAAAGTTATTTCAAGGTTAGTTTAATTCCACACCACTATGGTCTTACATACTTGTGTCTTCCTAGTGTCTTGGGCATATTGCTGTCCTGTGGCAAGTCATTTTTCTCAAATTTTAAAATTACCATGACCCTCACACTGACTGCTCAATCAGTCTTTGCACATCCCATAATTCCAGCTCCAAAATAAAAACATACATAGGTGGCATCTATTAACACTGGTGGACCTTCCTAAATTAAATCCCTCAATAAAGGGATAGTAGAATTCTTGATTACCCAAGACTGTTCACTAATCAATGAAATGTGGATTGATTCAGTCAAAATGAAAGACTGTCTCCATTTCAATAATGAGGAGATGTCAGTTTCAGGGGCCCCATCATTTTCATCTCCCACACATTTGGGATCCTACTACTGGTTCAGCTGCTCCTGTTTCTCATTTATCAATCTCCATTTAATGGCAGAAAATAGGCAAGTCACTACAAAAGTATAATACAAACTGATGGATGATGCATTGAAGACTACCAAACTCCCACTAAAAATCTACACCATTAGTTTTGAGGATTTCCTCACCATGCTGTCAACAAGGTTCTAGAACACTTGAGGGTATCAAGATTTTCCTCAAGGCTATACTACAGTGACTAAGGCATGTCTACACTAGCAAGCTTACAGTGGCACAGGTCTACTGATGCAGATGTGCTGCTCCAAGACTGTTCATATAGCTGTTGTATACAGACCCAAGGGAACCCTCCCACTGGCACAATAAAACCACTTCCACACATTGCAGTGTCCAACACAGCACTGTCCACACAAGTTATACTGACAGAAGTGCCAGTATCCTTTGGGGTCACTCATGGCCAAAAGAAAGTTATAACAAACGTGGTAGTGTAGACATGGCCTAACCCTGACCCTGAAGTGGTTAACAGCTGCTGGAGGAGGAAAAGCTACCAATGGGCTTGTAAGTGTACACCAGCTGGAGGGGGTAGATTCTACTGTGCACCAACTGGCCTGTGTGGAAGTTCTCTCATGGACACTGATGCCAAAGGCTGTCACATTGTTCAGCACTCCCTTTTTTGTTCCCTTTACAGCCCATAGCACCACAAAATCCTGGTCCAACATGGACTCCTAAGTGCTACCACAATAAGCATAACGAAAACAGTGCTTGTGGCTTTGAAGATCCCTTCAAAAGAAAACAGGGTGTGCAGAGAGAGACCTGAGAAAAAGCAGTAACGGTCTACCACCCAGCCACTTTTTGGTTGGCCTGACAGCACCAGTGCACTCATGGCAAGAAACTACCGCTTCTCAGGCTACACAGATTTTTTTTCTATACCACTTTATTTCACAGCACATTAAAGAAAGGAACATTTTACAGAACATGTCTCAAGCAATATTTTAATTTATCACTTATTAGCCAGATTTTAAAAAAGCCAGTGAACTCCTTCTATATTTTAATTTTCCTTTTGAAGTGAAACAAGGGCTAAACTATAATATTTTACTGAAAAAAATAAGAGCAAACATATTGTGAAGTCTACACAGCTCTACAAGGAATTCAATAGTCTGCATTAGGGTGTTGCCTCCCGAGGTATCCTACAGGATTCTTTCCAACAACATTACGTTGTCCAGCCTTCTCTTTACTATGGAAGAATAGTATGTGATGAATTCACATTTCAACGTTTCACCTCGGTCCACATTGCTAGGCTTGCACTGAAGAAAGCTGGGTCTTTCTGGACTTTACCATATAGATAAAATAAGGGCAGTGGCAATCTGATACTTCTCACAGAAGCAGAGTCACTGAGCTCTGATTCCTGGCCAGCTATCAAAGCTTGGGGTTCTCTGGTCTAGGATGACAGAATAAGCAAGAAAGCTTAGCCACCAACAGTGACAAAGTTGACACCTAGCACATGCATCTACCTCTTCTCTGCTGATATCCATATTCCAAACAGCAATTCCGCCATCAGCTGAACATGAGACCAGTTGCCGCGTGAGCTGGATGTAACAAATAGCCTGCACCTTATCACTGTAAACAAAGAGGACACTGTTCACTCTTCCAAACATTTAAGTAAAAGCAACATTCCCTAACAAGTCTGGGTATGAATTTGTAAGAGTCACCTAGAAAGCTGAAAACAATGTCAGTAGCTAGGGCTGGTCAGCTGTAGAACTACTGTAACGCAAGACTGCTACATGTTTGAAATGAAGAATCAAATTTTAGAAGCCGGATTTGGTACCATCATTGCCTAGTGTTATTTCAGCACTGAAGTAGCTGCAGTAGCACAATGTGTTAGCTTAGAAAGCAGCAGGTTAGACCTGTATGCTGATCATGTCAGTATTTTGGTAGTGAAGCCCAGCCATAAATAAAACGCATCTCAGCTGACAGGTGTCTGAGTTGGGCAGATCTGCAAATATGCTTCTTCATGCACATTCTGAAGTCAAAAGAATACCAATATTTAGGTATGTTAAAATGTGGGTAATTGGTTACCTGTGTAACAATGAGATTTTCAGCAGTTACGTGCACCTACCAGTGCACACCAGAAGTCATTTTTTAAACCTGGCTCCAGCTTGCAACTCCAGGAGCGGGGCAAGGAGCCTGCATGTAACTGAACAGTAACCAATAAACCCTGCCTTATCACTTAACCATTTACATGGATATTCTTTTACATCCCTACCAATAGTAGGGGACAATTGTGAGAAAACAGCCAAAGAACTGTGTCCTTAAGAGATCCAACTGGAAGCCCTTTTGCGGATATACAAGTTGTTAAGGTTGGTGTAATATTCATATTTTAAGAAACTGAATTCATTTTCATCTGTTTAAGTTTCAGTCATAGGAAATTGAGGAGTCAGGCCATAAGGTGGTTAGAATAGTTATTTAACAGAAGATGTTGATTCAAAAAGTTAAACTGTCAACATCACACAAAATAAATGAAGTAAATATCTTTAAATAAAAGGTATACTTTGCCTGAAAGCTTAATATTTGCTCCCTGTAAGTTGGGAGTACTTTCTTCATTATTTGTGTGTATAAAGTGGAAATTGGCATTTGCCAATACAAAAAAAAAAAAAAATAAATAATCTAATCATCCTAAGCTTACTTAGTCATTCAGCTTCCTATTCTTCCCCACCCACAAGTTCCTGTTTTCCTGAGTTCACTTGCTGTGCAAACAATGACTTCTGGAGGAGAGCTGACTAGAGAAAAACAAGAATATATTTGATACAGCTGTCCAGAAGGGAAATCTATTACAGTTCTACCTACTTTTAACCACATACTACAAACAGTGAAAATTAGGTTCAGTGATTTTTTTTCCCTTCCACTGCTTCTTAAATGGAATATTTTCCCCCACACCATATAAAAATTCCACCGCCATCTGTCAAGCATGAGTTTGGAAAAGAAAAACTCATAGCTGATATACACAGTCTTCCCAACACAATACATGGAAGAGTGAAAGAAGCAGTGGAAGGTCCTCTAGTCATAGGTGTCAAACTGCACTACTGCAGCCAGTATGTAATATGAACTGTTGCATGTGAATGCACGAGTGGGAATTCAAGTACAGGAAGTCAGCATAGATACTTTAAAATCCAAGATGAAGAGGAATCATTAAAATGAAGGATTTTACAAATGTGTGCTACTATGCAGATGTCATTGGACATGTTCACCTTCTTCCTGCACAAGCCTTCTCGTGAAGGGTATACTATATCAATGAGACTTGACACCATGCAGCAAAAATTCCCAGTCTTAGATGGACCACTACTACACTGCTAACAAGAGCAGTCCTAGTATCTTCACCCCCCTCTTAATTCTAGACATTTTTATTCTCATCTCATCACTACTCACATTTAAGGGATAGCCAAGAAACAAGTCTTATGATAGTAATGCTACTGAGATTTGTTCCCCCAGTCCCCATGTGTCACCGTCTCAAGAGAGCACTGAGATATACCATCCTGTCTAGTTACTATTCACAGTACTTGGGAGTAGGGTTGTTAGCAGCTAGTCAGGTAAGTGTTAGCTTATTGGTTAAATGGTTATCCATCCCATTTAAACCCCTCCGTCTCCCCTTCTGCTTTGCATTTAAAACTCAGACTAGCAGACTGGCTTAGTCCCAGCTTTAAATGAAGAGCATGCAGGGGTGCCATCCATCACACTACACTGTTGTCTCTCAGAGGTAGTAGTGCAGGGTGGCAGGCAGGAGGCTCCCTGGGAGCTGGGTCAGGAATGCACTGGATGCCAGCTCTGCCCCTGGGGGTCATTGAATAATCATGTAACTGATAATTGTTGTGGTTACATGATTACTAAATTAAATTATTTCTAACATCCCTATTGGGAGCTGGTCACATTTAGTTTAGTCCTTCTGAAAACCCACAGAAACTAAGTATTTGGAAAAAAACAGAACTGCAAGTCATTGCTACATACTGATGGCCCTGAAGCAGCAGCGTTCGGCCTTTCCTTCCACCAATATCCCACATGATAATGCTATGATCAGATGCTCCAGAGAAGAGTAACCGTTGGACAGGATCCCACCAGAGGGAAGCAACACTCCCTTAAAAACAAAACAAAAACAAACAGGTGAGGTAACATCTTTTAGCGGATGAGGGAAGACAAACTTTGAATCTCATCTCTTGTTCATGCATCATTCTGTGCTGCTGGCTCTGTCCCTGAGAGCAGGGTGACAGGCACACACTGGCTCCCAGAGATTGGCAGCCGCCCCACACTGTGGACTCTGCCACAGAAAGCTGATATGGCAGAACCCGCAGCACATAACCAGTGTAACTGCTAAATTCTAATAGTGAGATGGTTAATTAACTGCTTTAACATCCCTAGTAGCAATCAGGACAAGGAGATTGGTGGGTATAATAGTAGGCGGGGGGAGGGGAGGAACTGGAGGGCGGGGACACACATGGACACAGAGTGATGAGGGAGCAAGGGGAAGTGTGCAGCTGTGTGAAGTTTCCTCTGCCCCTTCCCAAGCAGTCAGGAGTGAGTATAAGGTACAAGCTACACATTTTACCTTGACTCATTGCTACACAAGACTGCAGTCCCCTCCAAAGGGCATGGGCGGGCATCTAGGGGTTGAGGAAGCCCCAGATCGGGGGGGGCTTGAGGGGAGTAGGGTGCACACTCCCAGGCAGCCCTTTTCACTTGCCTAGCTACCTGTTTCTTAACAAGGTAACTTGCAGAATAGCCCCAGAAACCCAGCTGACAGCAGTTGCAGCCAAGCCCCGCAGCCTACTGGCTTAAATGCATTGAGGCCCCCAGTGACCATGGGTCAGCATGTGCAACATGTCTGAATGCTGCTAGGTGCACTCTTGCTCTTAAGTAGTTCTCTCTAAATGCAGTGACTCAAGTTTCCCAAATATTTTAATGGCAGTAAGAACTGGTCATAGGACAGACATACTGCAGACAAAAATGTATGTGCTCCATTGGTTTTTATAAAGATTTTTGTATTTGTTTCATACTCCTTATTAATCCTTCAGTGCAACACACTGGCTTTAAAAAACTGAACTCAAAATGCATGGCACTGCATTAGTCCTCCACTTATGACAGGCAAGCTACACAAGACATGAAAAATTCACTTGAATTTAATGTTCTAGCTCACTGAATTGTTCATACTAGATCAACAGAATACAAGAGAGACTAATTCAAGAGCACATACTTGAATTAACAGTTAGATTTAAGTGAAACAACATATGGGAAGCCCAAATACAAATATATAAGATAAGCTTATTGTCAAACTATTCCAGCAAGCAGAACAACTGTTGTTCTGTTCAAAATGAGGAAGCAACCACAACCCCTTCCCCACTGGTTTCTGTTTTGACTCCTACCTACCTACAGTTTATCAAATACAGCTTTAGTGTTTCACTTCATCATCCTGGTCTGCACAGCAGAAGTCCATTAAGGATAAGAAAAACAATATGACTATTACGTCCAGCAACAAGGTCTGTAGAAACAGATTTCCCCCACTGAACCACAGCCTCATGATCCAATAGATCAGCACTGTTAATGCAGCAAACCAGTAAAATGCTATTCTGGATTCTGAGTCATGTGAGGTCATGAAAAAAAGCAAAAAGGGTCAGTGTAGTTATTCCTCTCAGTATAAGCCTTCCCAATAACCTTACCTGGAAGCACAGTAGTAGTTAAATACCTCTGCCTGCCTGGCCCCACACTGCTCCTGGAAACAGCTGGCTGGCTGGCCCCAACATATTTGTGTGTGGCCCCCGGGGAAGGGAGGCGGTATGTGTCCATTTGCGGTACTGCTACCCACACCTGCATGTGCTACCTGGGTAGTGCTGGGGCAGCAAGGAAATGCCTCATTCCTCCTTCCCAGGGGCTGCAGACACGTGTCTGCACTCTGCCAGCCAGCTGCTTCCAGGAGCAGCATAGGAACAGGCAGGCTGCCTATCTGAGGATTGCAGTTGACTGGCAGAGGCTCCAGGATCTACCAGTCAATTGTGAATCCCCAAGAGTTGGTGACCACAGCTTTACATGCTAGTGAATACAGGCTGACATTTTGTAAGGTGAGACATCTAGTGGCAAAGTGTACAAATGCATCATTTAAGACCATTACTGTGAAGCTCATGATCTACAGCTGGTGCCTAGGGATGACACTGCTGTCCTCCTAGCACCTTGGCATAATCCAGAGTTAGCTATGAAACAAGCTGAGTTCTCAGCTATTTAAATATCCTGCCAATTTAAGATACACAAGTTTAATGTCTTTAAAGGAAGAACTTTGTTCAGCAAGTAGAGATAGGCAATGAACTTGAAAGTTTAGGTCAGAGCTTGCTCTTGACTACATTTCCCATCTTTTACTGAGACACAGTTATTTTTCCAGAGGCTAAATTAGCCAGGAAAGCTAAGAGGGAAGTTAGTTTACCTTCATGCCCTTTGAGGGTTGTGATAACTGTACATGTATTCTGTTCAAGCTTCAGCAGCGTGATCTGTCCAGAGTAGTCCCCAACGAAGGCATGTTCAGTTTCAAAGTCATATCTGATCACAAGTCAAGGAACACCACCCACTGTTCTCAGTCTCATTTGATTCTCTTTACAGAAATAGTCTGCCATCAGAACTAAAAAACCAACAGATTAAAACCACCAACAGAAACCAGACTGAAAACTTCAGACTGGAAAGCTCTTTAGCAGTTGAGTATTTATGTTTATGGACTACTCACATATTATGAACCTAAAACCAAAGGTTTACAGGGTAGGTTTAAAAACTTTCAGCTTTATTGTCACAAGAAGCTTTTAGGGTCAATTTTTCTTGACCTTTTTAACAATGATGTTCCCAAAACTCAAGAGGAGCCAAAATACATCAATAATCCACTTTTAACTGACCCGAAAGTGCAAGAAAACTCACTCTTGTTTACTTCAGTCAAGGATCTTGTTGCCATGTAAGGGCCTGAGGGAAGCCACAACGGTCTCAGGAGTAGAGTACCCGGACATTCTAATTAGCCCTACCATCCATGGCAAGCATCTACTAACCTCCTATTTGCATCCCTGTAATACTTTGATTAGGGTGATGTAAAACTGAAGGCCCATTGTGTGGCACTACACAAAAAATGAGACCATCTCTACTTTAGAGACTTTACATGTAAGGGCCTGAGGGAAGCCACAACGGTCTCAGGAGTAGAGTACCCGGACATTCTAATTAGCCCTACCATCCATGGCAAGCATCTACTAACCTCCTATTTGCATCCCTGTAATACTTTGATTAGGGTGATGTAAAACTGAAGGCCCATTGTGTGGCACTACACAAAAAATGAGACCATCTCTACTTTAGAGACTTTACAACAGAAGTAGATATATCCTTTCCCTCTGTTTAACAAAAGCAGAACAATCAAGATTAAAGTCTCAGAAGGGCAGCCGTGTTAGTCTGCAACTTCAAAAAAACCCAAAACCACACACTAAGTAGTCCTGTGGCACCTTAGACTAGCAAAAAAAAGTTATTTATAGAGATCTAGAATCATGTGCCTTCGTGGACAAAACTCACTTCTGGCTTCCAGCTCATCTGAATTTATAATAGAAGGGGGGAGGGCACCTATCAGCCTCATTAGCACTGGCACTGTAATTGAGTGTCTCATTAGCACCAGTAGAATTGGCAGAAACAGAAAAAGGGGGGGGGGGGGGACCTCATCTAAAGTGGGTTTTGCCCATGAAAGCTCATAAGACAAGTTTATACATGTACAGCAATGGTCAAGTTCCTATTAATACAAGAGTGGCCCATAAAGTTTTATTATTCACATGAAAAATAGTGCCTGAAGAGTATCTGACATTGCTCCATCCAGAAAACAGTTGGCACCACCTATTCCTAAACGACATTCCCCAGCCCATAGTATACGCTTATTGTTTGTCCTCTGCTGAGGTCACCACTGAAAGACATGTAGGAACTTAGGCTATGTCTAGACTGCAAGCCTCTTTCGAAAGAGGCTTTTTCGAAAGATACTTTCAAAAAAGCCTCTTTCAAAAGAGAGCGTCTAGACTGCACGCGGAACTTTCGAAAAAGAAAGCCGCTTTTTCGAAAGAAAGCAGCAAGTGAGTCTGGATGCTCTCTTTCTAAGAAGCCCTGTTTGCTTTCAAGAATGCCTTTTTTCGAAAGAGCACTTTCGAAAAAAGGCGTTCTTCCTCGTGGAATTAGGTTTACTGCCGTTGACAGAAAAGCCGCATTTTCGATTTAATTTTGAAAGATGCAGGTGAAGATGCAGGTGACGTTTTTTCGAAAAAAAAAAAAGGCTACTTTTTTCGAAAAAAAACCTGAGTCTGGACACAGCCTAAGAGGGGTTTACTGTGTAGAAAGGAGTGCAGTATAAACCAAACCTTGCCACTGCAATGGGAAAGCTCAGCTTCCAATGTCTTATTAAGCATGAGGGGTTTAAGTATTTGAGGGTCTGCAGATAAACAATCCTGCATCTAAGCTCATATAGGCTGGCTGCCAATTGTAGTGCCTCTCACTTAGCATTATTTCACCTTGAAGTTTATGTTATTATTTAATCAGACACTAAGGAACATCCATTCTGTCATTTCATATTTGAGTAAGCCTTTGTAAAAGATCTTTAACTCACACCTCATAAAAGCTGTTGGTGATTGTGCTGAATATTCAAAAATACATAGTGACAAGCTAGTCATTTGCTCTCCATTGCTAATGATTCAAGCACAGTGTGTTGAAAGGAATCAATTTCCTTTGAAAAAAAAATAAAGGCCATACTATGGAAATCTAAAAACATTTTCTGTTAGAAAGGGAATTCTAAGTTTTTCCATTTCCTAGAAGTAATTTGTTCCAGACATTGACTGTAATGATGGAGGACTGGTTAGCATAACAGCACACCTCCTGCCAATCTAAGTGCATTACTCTAGCAACATACCTCCACAAGAGGTGCACAGATTACATCAGCAAAATCAGGGCACAGTGTCCATGTAAACACTGCATCCCTTACATCTGCTGGCTGTCTTGATACCCGCATCCCCACTACCAGCTGGGAGTCCCCACTGGGAGCCTAGCAGCCCTGGTCAGTTTTACAGGCAAAATGTCTCCCCCACTCCAGGTAGGGAATGGGGAGAAGGGGTTGAGAGGCAGCCCACCAGGAGCCAGAGGAGCCTGAGGCAGCTGGACTCCTGGCAGAGAGCTGCCAGAGGAGTTGAGAGCCCAACCTTTGCTTGGAAGTGCTCCTGGGGAGAGTGTACACTGTTGATACAAAGAGGATCGGGTGGATGTGCACGACTGCAATGGCTTTAAGAACCTAATACAGGTGAACTTACATTTCTAGTGTAGACATACCTTATGCCTCAATACAGACAGTTGACAAAGGCTTAATGCAGATGACTAGAACTAGATTACTCCAACAACGCTCACACACTGTGTACTAAATTTCCAGATAAGAAACTTAAGCTATGCACTAAAAAGCACACTAGATGCCATGCTACTTCCATTTTTAATCCAATCTACATACCAAACACTACCTATTCGTTCAATTACTAAAAATTCAGACTACAGCAATTTTTTAAATGCATATAGGAGGTTAGTCATATGAACATTTGTAGAGTCTACATACTGTGTAAAGAAACCATAGAATTTCGGAATCCAACATGTACTTTTGTAAGCTAGAAGTTATGTATTTTAGAGAATCTGAACAGTAGAACTTCACTATGCATACTGTTGGCTGGGGAGCCATTGTAGAGTGTGAACTGTAAGAAATCAAGTAAGTAAAAAAAATACATTGAAAAGTAAAGATATGACAAGATGCAACTGGATTTTCCCAAGTGTAGCTTAGTTTTAGTTATTTAATACCTTCTCTACTAAATACATTGCAGTGGATTTTGTAATGATAAAGTTTTGTCTTGTTTGTTAGTGATCTGATCATCTTTGATGGATACTGTAAACACGAAGCCCAAGAGGTGAAGTAGTGTCTTCCCAGCATATTCCCACTCCTGGTGCACATCCAGCTGACGCACTTGTCATGGCCAGTACTGATAACCCACTCTGCTCCCAGGCAGAAGATGACAGCTGACACCCGATTCTGATGAGCTGTGGAAATAAAGCAGAGATCTGAACATTTAGCTAGAAATATTTCAATCAAATCTGTTCTACAGTTAGAAAGAAATTGAAAGTGTTGGGGAGGGGGGGAGAAAGAATAGTTGCAGGAAGAATTTTACCTTTGCTATCACACTTACTGCTGCCCCAAAATTGGATAGTGTTAGCAGAGTCTGATTCATTTTTCATCTCAGTGATTGGCCTTTAATGAATCAGACATGTCAGAAAAAAAAATCTGCTCATTTGAATCTTCCTTTCATTTAGTAATTTCTCCCTCACATAATAATGTAAAGGTCCCTCATTTGAAGGCAGGTTGGTAAATGAACTCCAGTGAGAGCATTCTGTACAGTGTGAGAACATTTAATGTAGTAAGAATATGTAAATAAGACGTGAAAGGAAGACTGTAGGGGAGGATATATTATAGATACTTCTGGACTGAAATGTAAAAAAGTCATCTGCTTTTAGGAGAAAGGGCTTTTGTAGCTTTTTAAAAATAAGGTCTTTCTTTTAAAGAAAAGCACCCTTTTCCAGTAGAGTTCGACAGGAAGTCATAAGACAAGCTGTATTTTGTTTTCCTACAGTTTTGGCTTTTAATACCAAGTCTTCTGTGTATCAAGTTATTAATTAATAACTGAAATAGTGACTGAATATTCTTTAGTATTTGGCTGTACATTCTTTAGTATTTTCTAAATAGTGCTTGGAAAGAACTTACATCTTTCATCAACAGCAGTTTTAATAGAGTAGCTCCCCTCCCCCAATACCTGATGAATGGGAATCTTTATTATCTCATTCTTACTTCACTACTTAGTTCTTACTACTTTAACTGAAACCCAAGAGCCCAAGTGTTTAATAGCAGGCATTTTGGCCTAATTATTGCGCACACATACCACCACCCAGGTGTTTTAAAGAACAGAATTCCCCCCTCTCCTTATATTAGGCACCAGCACTGCATCAAGGTTATCTGTAGATTAAAATATCCACAAACATTACCAGTGTTGAGTGCTAAACAATATAACCAGAGTTATAAACATTCAGCACATTACCTTACAGTTATGGGAGGCTCTGATACAGCTCCTACTTGGAACCCTTTGGGGATTGCTTCCCAACTCTGATGACCTTTATGTTGCAAATATTGCAGAGGGGTGTGTTTTCTTCAGCTCTGAATATAAAGCTTTTCAGAAGGAATATTCTCCATGACTTCCTACATCACAATGAAGCCAGCAGCTTTGTGGTAAGACTATGCTAAAATCTAACAAAATAATTTTGGGCCATTCTAAAAGCCCTATATTTGGGCTACAAAAATTGATACTATTTTGATTTAAAGTTGTTAAAGGTACTTTGAACCTAGGCCAAATATGGACACTTTAATAGTATGAAAGACATTGATAGTCAATTATGAATGTGTTTCCCAACAATACTGAAAGTTTTAAAAATCTGATCTATGAAGTAAACAAATTAGCAAAAACCCATGCTGCATTACCTGGGTATGTCTTGACAAAGTTCATCTTATTAAAGTCTTCTGAGATATGGAATTCCTGATACCAAGGAAACACAGTTACAAGTAAAAGGATGCATCCTCTCAGGCTGAAATGCAAATCAGACTATTTGATGAAAATCTTTTCCACCAAGAACACAGGAATAGCCTTATAAACAGACTTAAGTTGGCAGCCAATGACAACTGGTCATGCTACAAAAGGATCGGTTTGTCCCCAGAGCATGTCTACACTAGAAACACTAAAGCTGCACCACTGAGGAACTTCAGTATAGATACTACAGTAAAGAAAGAGGTTCTCCCGTTGTTTAGTTAATTCACCTCACCCAGAGGCAGTTAACTATGCTGGTGGATTTTCCATCAGCCTAATACTGGAAGGGGCTTAAGATTGGCTAAACCATGTCACTCAAGGGTGTGAACAACATAGCTGGGTCAATCTAGTTTAAGACTAACCCTTGAGCCACAGGCTGGTAGATACTACTCAATACCATGCTGACCACAGTAATAAATCCACACTTTAATCTATCAGCTGCATGGAGAGAGATCACTCATCTTTTCAGCAGAGGATATGCATTCAGAATCAAGTCCAACTAAGACAGTGTGGGAATAAAGGGAAAGTGTCATCAGATATTAATAGTTACCCCTGCATCACCTTGTTGGAAGGGGGAATAAAGGGAAAGTGTCATCACATATTAATAGTTACCCCTGCATCACCTTGTATTTAAGGGTTTCTTATGGAAGTTAAACTTTGGCAGAAGTTTTCATCTCTGCTCTGAGATTAGTTGCATGTTTCCTCCACCCTTTCCTCACCTTGTCTGCAACAGAGGACTGCGCCCTGCAACTTTTTTGCAGAAGAAAGTAAACGTAGCAAAAAAGGTGGGGAAAAACAAGAGAATAAAAACATGACATGAGAGACTGGGACAAAGCAAGAAAGTTGTAGCTTCTGCAAGGGATAGCTAATCTTTACCAATTAACCTATCGACTAGTCGATGGATTTTTTGTCGATTAGTCAATAAGCAGGGGAACTGCAGCGGGGTTAACTCCCTGCAGCCCTGGGAGCTAACCCCGCTGTGGCTCTGCCTTTTAAATGTATTAAGAGCCTACTAGCTCTTAGTACATTTAAAAGGCTAAAGCGCAGCAGGAAGGACCCAGCATGAGCCAGGACAGCTGATTCCCAGCTCACGCCAGGCCCGCCCTACTGCACTTTAGCCTTTTAAATGTATTAAGAGCAGGTAGGCTCTTAATACATCTAAAAAGAAGAGTCTGGGACTGGTCGCTAGCCAGGATTCAGGTGATTCGCAGCTTGTGCCTGGCCCCTGCTATTCCCCAAATCCCCATGGAAAAGGTGCTGGGGAGAGCTGGCTCCTGCTCTCTCCCCTCCCCCCGCCCACCTTTGCTGCCTCTGTCACTCTATCAGAGGCAGCAAAGGGGGAAGTGACTAGTCGAGAGACTAGTCGCTTACATCCCTAGCTTCTGCAAAGAATGAGGTGAGGATGCTCTACTGGGTAATCTCACACAAGGGACAGAAAAAAAGACTTGCACACCTAACTCTTTGGCATTAATGTCAAGAACCGTGGACTAGAATCCTACATAGAAGGACAGGAAGCTTCACAACAAGAAATTGAGATTTCTTTGCCTGAAAGGCACAAGCCTTTCCAGTTATTCTATAGTTTGATTTGATTCAAACAAATGTCTGGCTACATATACTGCTCATATAAGTCTGCAACTATCCAGCTACTACTAAAGAAATGCCACAATAAACTTGCTTTCTTAAAAAGAAAACTGCAGCAGCAGCCACTTACCATAATGGCACCATTATCCTGGCCTACAAATATTCTTCTGCTGTCATGGTGATAAGCCATAGCTGAACAAGGCGCTGTCAAGAAAACCATCACAAGAAAGTTGTTAAAGCACATATATAATTAGCACTGAATTTCTTTGGCCTCAACTATTCAATTAGTTGTGTACCATGACCCCTAATTTTTTTGACAGTCACTTTCTAGGATACATTTCCCTATCTTATAAATATGACCTAACTTCTTTGCTCCTAGACATATGATCTTGCATATGGCAACATTAAAATGCACACAAAAAAAGATGCTTGGTTTTGATAAATAGTTTGACAGGAAGACTTCAACTGGAGATAGTGTCTGAGGGAGGTTTTTTGTGCATCTCTTGCTTAGTTTGAAGGATTTGATTCCCTGTTGCTAGGTTACAGCAATGTACAGTTGTGCTGTAGAAGAAACATGCCCCATTAATTCCAGCTACAAGCTGGAGCGAACAAAGGGAATTTGACCAAGGCTGAAAAACTGGCTGGAACAGTTCATACAGAGCAGCTCATATCAAGGCTTGCTATGTTCTAAAGTTCAAAGTCTTTGACATGACAGACTATACAGAACCACCTATTACCTTTGAGTTGGAATAAGACACCATTGGAAGAGGATTTCAAAGCAGAAGTAATACTTGATAACATTAACTTCCCGTCTGGTCATGCATTTCTATTCCTGCACATCTGATAAACAATCCCATTTTTATATTGCCACTAATAGGATTGCAAAAGAGTCTCATCTGATTATACACAAGCTATTCTGACAGGCCACTGCAAAGCCAGAAGAAACCTCAAAGAAGGAAGAATGTCTTTAGACATGTGTTGTTCACAGTCTCACTGAGCTACAAAACAAAAAAGGAACTGAAAAAAGCTACAAAACATAAATAAGGATGACATCTATTTCTGCATCATAAATCATTTGGAACACTGGCTACATTTGGGAGGTTTAGAATTACTGTTTCTCCTCTAATACCTTATTAGATATTTCTCTGCACATCTTAAAGTTACTTTTCCCATTCCATTTTACACCTAATGCTAGACTGGACCATTCCAAATGATCTAGTCTGACCTCCTGTGTAACAAAGGACAAAGAACCTCAACCAATTTCTCAATTTCTGTATTAAAACCTGTAACTTCTGTTTGATCTAGCTATAGTAGGTCTTTTAGAATATCTAGTCTTGATTTTAAGAAAATGGGGAATCCACATTATTACTAGGCAAGTTGTTCCAAAGGCTGATTAGATTCACCGAGAAATGAAGACCTTCTTTCTAGTTTAGCTTCAGCTCTGAACAGGGCTATATAGAATTTCTTTTTCTGATAGCTCTTGAATCTATCAGAAATCTTTTCCCCACATTTAGACTTGTAAACTGATCACATCAGGTCTTCAATTCTGATAACTGTTTTAAAGAGTTGAAAAATTGGATGTGATCAGCAAAATTTAACACAGCATTCCAATAATGGTCTCACTAATGCCACATGCAGTGGTAATGTCACCTTCCTACTTGATATTATCTTATACATCCTAAATCATCTTCACCCTCTTAGTTACACCATCATACTGGAAGCTCATACTCAGTTGTATACCATGATCCCTAAATCTTTTAAGAGAGTCAGTAGGATGCAATCCTCCATCTTATAAGTGCAGCTTACTTTCTTTGCTCCTAGATATAGGACTTCACATATGGTAACCTAAATTTGAGTGTGCATTTTAATCAGGTCATATTACTAACAGATGTAAAAGGTTAACCAGTAAGCCTCACTCTTAACAGATGAGGCTTACTGACTGCGCTTACCTGGTAGGCACTGAGTCAGCGTCAGCAGGAGGGTACTCCACCCCCATGGGGCCCACCGCTGGCAGGGCAATTCACCCTGTGATCAACTCCTAATGTTTAAATACACTAGCAAGACCATATGCAAAAGCAATTTCTGACTCCAAAAATATTTTCATAAACAAGAAGCTCTTTCAGTTTATTTCATCTTAAGTATTTTAATGCTTAATATTCAGAATCCAGAACACACATGAAACTTTAGATCAAACTGACACTTAAAGATTTTGAGATGGTTGAGACATTAAAGGTGCTCCCTCTTAGGAGTTGGCACAATGTAACTGTATAGTAAACAACCAGATGCTTTTTTAAAAACAGAAGTTGGGATTAAGAATTGTTTTGACAAAGTTTAATTTTCTCAACGTAAGTGTATAAAAGCCAGCCAGAAGCTGGGATTAAGAATTGTTGTGACAAAGTTTAGTTTTCTCAACGTAAGTGTATAAAAGCCAGCAAATATTTCTGATTGAGCTAATCTACAATTAGCATAAAATTATTCAAATCAATTAAGCTACTTGTGAAACC